GACGTACGCCGCCTCACGATCCCGCCTAGCAGGCCCAGCCCAATACGTATATGAGCTTTCTTCTGGTTCTCTTTAATATTTCTTTATCGAGAGTAAAAGCAATGACACCTTACATTACTCATGTATAGTTATATGTATGTTAAGTGTAAGTAAGTTTAAGTTTGTAAGGTATCATCTGCTAAAAAATAGCTACATTTTAAGCTACATAGCTACAAATTGCTATCCCTCACTTAGCTATTGGCTAAGCTATATAAGCTATATACTGATAATCATTTTTTCGTGTGTTTTTACTCATGCGGTACAGTAAGAAAGCCCTATCGACAGGCCAGTGGGGCCTTACTGCCGTACTCACCCTCGCCTACAGTGATGGAGGTGGAGTGCTTCCCGATGACGTGCACCACCTTGAGCTGACCCTTCTCCACGATGACGTACAGGGCGTAGGGCTCGAGGCCCTCGGGCCTGTTCTTGACCGAGTGGTACACGAGCAGCCCGTGCGGCAGCCGCGTGCGGAACTGGAACGAGATCTCGCGACACATCCTGGTAGAGAGCAGGAGTTAAAATGAGTTTTTGTGGTTTTCGGTATCCAGTGTGCCGAGTGTTCAGAATTCCGCCTCAAACCTGAGCTGGAAGGTGGGGATCCGGTGGTCGTCCACCTGGATAAAGGCGTCGCTTCTCGCCATCATGAACACTTTCTGTCTGCCCGTCTCGGCGAAGGTCAGCTCGTGGCCTCGGTCCTTCAGCGGCACTGGCGGCTCGGTCGGCGGCGGCCTCTTGGTGGTCCCGGGTTTCCTGGAGGTGGTGGTGTTGACCCTCCTCGGGTCGGCCGTCGTGGTCGGTTTAGGCAACAGGTACGGTGGTAACGTGTCTGCAAGAGACAACACGGAATCATCGTTTTGCTTTCTATACGTTATCTCGCACAACTCGTATCGCGTATCAGGCCAGTAAAATACCAGGAAACGCGTCGGGAGAAATACTCACGGTTCGGACCGCCGCACGCCGCCAGGCACTCCACCTCGGTGTTAAATCTGTTCTGGTTGCCCTCGCACCCGCCGTACGGGAAGGTGCGGCAAGCGCCGCCGTCAAAGAACCACTTGTGGATGTACGTGGTGCAGGGCCCGGTGAAGGGCGGCTGCTGGCAGCGCTCCACCGGCGGGGTGGTGGGCGTCGTGGTCACGTCCTGGGAGGCCAGGCCGTGCGCCAGGCCCGTCAGCGCGGCCAGGGCGAGCGCCATGGCCGCCCCCTTCTGCCCCCGGCCTGGAGCCATCGCTGCCCCACTCCGTCTGCAAAGGGAAACAGCCGACGCAAAAACTGATTAAAAGAGGAAATATGTTTGAAACTCCCTCGTGGGTATGCGGAGTTTGTTGTACGCATCTGGTGAGGTTTGGCATGCCTGCCGCCCGCCACGCGCGCACGCCCCCTCGCGGTCAATGGGTCAGCCGGCCATCCCTTTAAGTATCCCCGCCCCTCCCGCTGGTGATAACAAGGCGACGATTCTTCCGCCAACACTCTCGAAGCTCGTCCCGTCGTCGGCCGCAGGACTCGCGCGGCCCAGGAGAGGGTCCTCCTGCTCGCAGAGCAGAGGGACGCGGGCCCTCACAGGTCCTCGCTATCGCTCGCAAGGACCCGTAGGCAGGCACGTGCCCTAGTCCTAGTCGTCGGCTCTAATTGCCTTAACGACACGATCCGGGCGCTAACGAGCGAGGCGTCCAGGCCGGCTAGTGTTGCCGCGGTGTGAATACGCGCCGCCTGCGGGGGGGCGAGGTGTGTGTGTGCCGGACATAACTAGTCACGAATACTTACTAGCACAAGTACCTAATGTACCACGGGCATCTGATCATCACCCTTCCGGTTTTCTCCCCACGCGATCTCAAGTCTATCAGTGACTCCGTTTGTCCGCATCCCCCTCTCCCTCTCCGACAGTCACACTCGAGCTATTGGTCCAACATCTCTAATTGGTCTAGATTCCCTTGAGGGGGCAGGGGAAATGGGGGAGGGGGCTCAGGATTAGCATCGGGTAGACAGGCATTAGCTTCATTCGGAGGCAGCGGCGGCAGGTCGCCCCGCCATGACCAAAGGGGGGAGGGGAGCTCGGGGCGGAGCAGGTTCAACGACACGGCTGCTGCACCGGCGCCACCGGACCACCGGACGCTATCGCGGAGAGGGACGACCTTGGCCCGCACTCGCGAGAGAGGAGGACGCCGTTATCGCTTTCACCGACTTTACGGCTTCGAGTGTACTGTATTGTATGCACGCTTCTTGTGCACGGCTAAGTGCGGCAGGCCCCGAGTCCTG